GTTCTGTAGGTATCAGAAACAAAAATGAAGCATTTGAAGACCTGTTTCTTACCAAAACTTAAAGAACAGTCATGTAGCCACATGAATTTATGAATAATATAATAAAAACTCAGATCAAAAAAGTTTTCTTTTGGGGGGAAAAAAGTCCTGTTTAGATACAGCTTGAGAAATCAAGAAAAACAAGGGAAGGGACCAAAAATAACACCCTGACTTGATCAAATAAAAACCAGAATTTGAACCAATTTGTATATAAGAGAAGCCTTAACCCAAGATGTTCAAACACAAAGCTAGAAGGCGCTGGATCCTAATCTGGCCATCCCAGCTTTTGAACACATTTGTATTCCTCTAGTAATCAGAATCCCTGAAGCCACAGCATCGGCAAGACAAAAGTCCCGAGTGGCCACTTTGTAATATTGCAGTTGGCGAAAAGCATAAAGCTTTCACTTTCAGGCTTTTTTCGAAATGAATTTTGCTAAAACATAATATATCCATTTGATCAGTAATAAACCCAAGTTAGATATGATGATGTAACATAATAGAACTCAAGGATATTAATGTCCTCCGCAACTTTAGTAACTTGATCTAACATTTGAAACTTCAGGCTGCACCACAAAGGAGTTGTACCCCAATGGAGTATCGGCCTTCTTATAGTCCCTGAAATCAGTGATGTGCAAAAAAACTTTTCAATCAGTAAAATAGGATTTGATTTCAGATAGTACCCAGTAGAAAAGATGTAACAAGAAGGCAGCATTTGTATACACAATCAAGCTCTTATATATTCCTGACCATTTTAAGTTGAAAACATAAAGTGTAAGAAGTCATGGCCCAAAATATTTTCTTACAAACAATTTTAAACTAGCACTATAACCTAATATGGCATGTCATAAAGTCTGATACGACTAAACTGACAGGAACCAAAAGAGACATTCCTAATTCGTTTAATTAGGAACTGCAAGGAGACAAAACGTGTCTGTCTTTCGAGTCTTCTGGACTGGATAAAAAAACTAAACAAGGGGAAGACTTGGGATCCAATTCAGAATTTTTCTTGAACTGTTATCTTTAAGAAATCGGAATGCAACCATCAATTTATGTAGATAGAGAAGGTTCTCTATTTGACCCAAGTGACGTCTCTATTGGATAGGAACAGAGAAAGAAAAAAAGAAGTTGCATATCTCAAATGGGGCTGTTGATAAAAAAAATTATCTGATTTAATTTATCCTTCACTGTTTGCTTACCAGTAAATACTCATACTTTGTTCCGTCAGACACACAAGGAAACTTAACCCTTGTTACGTGTCATCTTCGTCTTTGAAATTGAGAATAACAAAAAGAATCAAGCAACAGGAGTATCAAGGCTATTCAAGGGAAAATAGGTCCAAACATCAGCAGTATCAGGGCTATTCAGGTACTTACTATTTCTTTTGTTTGTGCCATTTCTCTATTGTTGTGTACCAACTCCACTGGAAAAACAGAGCTGCAATTCGTAGTATACCCACAGTAACCACCTCAACAAACGCAAACAAGAATGACCTCTGGGGGGATAAACCAGCAGTTGCTATGGAAAGTAGAAGTCCCTCAAAGTTGCAGGGAATTATGAAAGTCCCAGATTTGATGCCATCTAGAGCTTTCTTGGCAACTTCATCAGGTTTGGCTGCACCGGAAGAGGATGATATGATACTCGTGAGTTCTGGCCTTATCTTGCTCTCTGACATGCAACAGAATGAAATAGTGATCTCATCAAAAATGAGCAGCAACAAATGTAAATATGATAGAAGTGAAATCAGAGTAACATGTACTACGAATAGCATTTGGTATACTGGTACCTTTGGTGTACATTTGACTGGCCGAACAAATTTATTACGTTAAACATTGGATAGTTAAAATAATAAATAAAAGCAAACTGTGCAATTCCATGTCTTTAGAACAGAAGTAGACATTGTTGTATATAATATACTGAGTATATTATTAGTGTTTAATAATTAATTCTTATTTGATCAATAATTAAAACTTTAACAGAACAGTAAATTACTCACAAAAACAATAATATAGTAAACTAACTATTGTATATACATGAAGTATATTAAATCTAACTTCTGACAATTTGCTTAACTTTTTTTTCAATAAAATGTTAGTTAATAACAATTTGTGATTGACTCCTAATATATTTTTTCTCTAAATACTTGTAAATTCACTCAAAAGAAAACTAATTCATAAAGCTCATAAACATCTGAATCTATGCGCCCTAGAATCAACAACATATAACATATGGAACCAAAAGAAACAAAGTAAAAACGAACATTTGTAAAGACCTAATATTATATAGGAATTATAAGAATATGAAGTTTACATTCGGGAGACTAAACTTTGAGCTTGTACATTTTTGGCACTAATTAAATTAGATTCACAAAAATGAAGGAACAAACTTTTTCCCAAGGTTTTTATATTTTATGCTAGGTCAAACATTTATTTCCACTACTAAACATAGGTTTGAAAACTACTGTCCTGTTCTGAGAGACATGCAGTATGTCTATATAAACATGTACTGAATACAAGGATTTCACATTGTAGAAAACAGTAAAACCTAGTTTTCTGAAGATTATAAATTGAAAGAGAGAGAGACAGAGCTTAGTATAAAATTTTTCCTTGGAGAAAAAGACTTGTAAGTCCTGCTCTAAGTATACTTTACTTTCCTGCATATTTCCTGTCTCTATCATTGTCGTCTAAGTTTCAACTTTCTTTCTCGGGTGATTTACATATCTTTCTCCAGCACCTACTTCAGAGACATTACCATGAATATAATGTAAATTGATAACTACATATTCATAATAACAAATAGATAAGTCTCACCATGGTTCTTTGAACTATTTATGATAAGACTAAATACCCATTTGATTTTGCATAACCGGACTTGGTCCTTTGGAATAGAATAGCCATTCCAAATCCTTATTTTACTATTGTGTTTGATTCACTTTTACCACTAATTATAGTAACAATCCCCAAAAATTGAATCAAGATTTCTTCTCTTTTTTTTCCTGGGGGGTGGTGAGTGATAGAGAGAGATAGAGAAAGAAGATCCTCATTCAAATTACTACCCGCTTACTTCCCATTTCTGCTTCTGGTTTTTGTCATGAACAACTCTGATAGGGCGTACAGATGTTTATTGGTCCCAAACTGACGAAAACATAGGACCAAAGAACTGTACTGAAATTAAAGAGGACCGAACTGGACTTGACTATGGACCAATCCAGTATTCTCAATTGGTCTTACTAAAGACTGCTGTATATATTTTCACAAAATGAAAAAATCTCAGTAGCTAATGCAGATTTGATATAAATTAGGAGTAGCAGAAACAATATTTTGTTGCAGGTACCACGATGAATAGAAACAAGATTTTGTTGTGTTACCAAAATGCTTGATTTATCCGTCCATCCCAGTCTATATGGTTGGGGGCGTGGTTGCATTCAAAGACGATTGAGTCGTTTTCAACTGTAGATATTGAAACAAGATTTCCACAATAATCTTCATAAATAACAAACTTCTTATATTTATTTCCACAACATGCTACAGTTTGAAAAATTGAAGAATACTTTTAATCCCTTTTCACTTGAACTGCATAGTTGTGCTTGGCTACTGTCAAGAAGAACTTGTCAATACCATCATCCTCAAGCTATGACTCATTCTCCTCCTTATAATCCCACATATTTAAAACTTTTTCTTTGCACTGACTTTTGTCAAGAGATTGCTAATCAGGAAGAACCAAAAAAAAAATACTTAGAATCCTGCTGAAAATTGGTCTAAGAGAGGATAAAGCGGTCTAGCGAACCGGTTTGGTCAACTCTGGTTCAAAAAAGTTAAACAGAATGCGCATCTGCAATGCTCACTTGCAGTGCACGCGAGTGAATTCGCTCACCGGCTTTCAGTCACTGGATGGCATCAATCTTTGGTCAGTGATCTTAAATGGAGGTGGCAGTTGCAGATTGAGAGCTAGTGTGAGACACAATTGTATAGAAATATGGCATCGAGAGAGACAGCAGCAGAACAGAACTTGTGCTGGCGTGCGGCACTTTCGCCATTGGGGTTTTGCAGCATGGCTTCGGGGTTCCGCTGGTCAGAACCTTCTGAAGTTGGTGGTAGAGGCTATGTCAACCACCTCCAGGCGGTGGTTGGTGAATGGTGCTATTGGCTGTTTTAGGATTTTTTATTCTTTTTGGCAATTCCTTTTCATATGGGTCTGGGACTGTTTAAGTGCAGAGTTTTGAGAATTTAGGTGTAGGATTTGTTTAGCTTTGATATCAAATTGATGTAGCACAAATAAATCTGATTTGTCCAATTAAAAATTTCAAAATAAAAACTTATACATCACACCTAAAGTTTCTTAAACATCGCATCTAAGAAGTTTTAAGCATCATATTTAAGAATTTGATTGCATCACACAACCAGAAAACTTAGAAACTCTCAATATATTATTGAATAACTGAATGCTCTAGTAAGCGAAATTACACTAAGAAATAGTAAACTATTTATAATAATTTCTAAGCAACCTTTACTAGATATAATTAAAATAAGAAATAGTAAACTAGTAGAGTTGGGAATATTAATCCTAATAAGAATAAATAAGAAACTAATACTAACAATATTAAGAATATTAACCCTAATACAAATAGAAAAATACTAATAAAAATAAAATTCCTAAGTTACTAAAAGTGTAATAATATTTCTCAATAATATAGACTCTTAAATATTATAGTAGTTCTACGTTTAATATAATTATAATTTCTATTTATTTAGTACATGTAGTGTTAGTCCATTACGCATCAGATTATAACTTCAACTAAACTTATTTATTCTCTTATTAATACCTTTTAATCATAACTAAACAAAGATAATGTCAAAACTAAAATGAAAAATATCATGAGAGGCTTAGCTGTAGAAACTGTTTGGAGTTTTCATTTTCTAAATTTATTGACGTATTAAAAATATGCATTTTTTAAAATGTAAATCAAGGAAACGACATCCAAAACACAACATGAATTTAGAAAATGAAACCTCTAAACAGTTCAAACTGGGTCTCAATATTCCTAAATCCTAATCAAACTCAATATACCCTTCGTCTAAATAATATTATCTAAATTTCCTTGACAACCAAAATATGTAGTTCTAAATATTACATAATATTTCCAAACACTAAAAGTGTACCACGGTAGTTTCCTCTAATTCTGCATCATCTTGACTTGTAATCTAGAAACAGTATAAGTTCATCATTGTTAACCTATAGCTTTCTCAACACAAAACCAGCTTACAAGTTCAGTTGACAAAGAAAAGTAAAGAAGCTCTTAGTACAAAAGTCACTAAACACCCACAGAAAAGCAATCAAAATAGCATTCTTGATCCCAATTTTATTGAGAAAGAGATTTTCCTTATGCAAACCAAGTAGCTAAAGGTTATAGCATCACTAGACAGGTCTATTTCCGCACTAAGTGCTACAGAAGCAAAATAAAGCTTCCCTACCTTCTTCTAGTCCAGGAGTTTCAGTGTCAGGAGGAAATATAAGAGAAACATGGATATTATCCCCAATAACTTCCTGTTGCAATGCTTCTGCTAAACCCCGAAGGCCAAACTTGCTTGCTGAATATGCTGTATAACCATAAATTCCAACCTAAAACACATGTATAAAATTTCATATCAGCCACATTACGACGACTCAGAAATCAGTATTCCTTTTCTAAGTCCTAGAGCAATAAAAGGGGAAAACTATGGCCCAGAGAATCAATAATAGTTCTTCAAAGGACGAATTAGAATTTTCTTCTTCGGAGTATATAAAAGAATAAAAAGATTTTTAAAACAATTCATTGCAATCTCATGATCCTAACCTGACCAGCCTGTGACGACATTAACCCAATGCAAGCGGGCGCTCCGTTCTCCCTGTTCTTCATTACAGGCAATGCAGCCTTGATCATATTAAAGCTGCCGATCAAGTTCACATCTATCATAAACCTGATCTCATCCAATCCCTGCTTCTCCAGTTCCTGCGGCACGAACACTCCCTGATTAACGATCAGCACATCTATAGCCCCTGCCGCTTTCACCGCGCGAACCACAGCATCGTAGTCTCTGACATCCGCCGCAAATGTAGCCACATCGACGCCAGTAGAGAGTTGGATTGATCGGCGAGCTTCTTCAAGCTTGGATTGAGAACGGGCAAGGATGGAGACGCGAGCACCTTCGGATGCGGCGCGGTGAGCCAAGGCCAGTCCAATGCCGCTGGATCCACCAGTGATGAACACATGACGGCCTTTGATTGGGATCTTGACAGGACGTGGCCGGACAATTAGGGCTAGAAGTACCAGTAGACAGAAAGGGAGGAGAAGAAGAAGAAAATAAAGGAAAGAGAGCTCTGCCATTGATATCGGGAACAGAAGGATGAAGAGTTCCTTCACTAATTAAAATTAACACTTAAGCAAGAATCTCTATTGTACTTACTCTAAATATATTATATTCTTATTTTATATTTAAATTATATTTAATTATATAATTTAAATATTTAATACAAAATAAAATTAATTGTATATCTAATCTTACTGTAATATATTTATATTTCACCTGTAATAGAGGAATTTAAAAAATATTTACTTACATTGACGCTTGAATAAAAATTTTAATATTTTATTATATTTAATTTTATAAAAAATTATTAATTAATATTAAATCAATTGATTTAAAAGTGGTAAATAAAATAAGTTATAAAATTTAAATATAAAAATAAAATATAAGAACATAAAGCGTTATTCTCGATACTAAAATTATATAGTCGCTCAAAAAATATAACAACAATAATAATAATATAATAATATAAAAATAGTTAAATAGTGAAATAAAATAAAATGGACCACTAAAATAACAAATAATCAAGTGACTTAATTGATACAAACCAAAAATATTAGTAAAAAAATTTTAAGAACCAACAAAGGACAATAACAAGGCCCATAAGAGATGAAAAATAAAAAGTAACCATTAAACAAAAGCATGAAAATAAATTTTTTTTTGGCTATTTCTCTGTTTGTTATCTGGATATCTCAATCAGCATTGTTATGTTGGTCGATTGAAACAACGACCTTTCCCCACTAAACAAGATCCATTTTGCCTTCATCAGAGCTTTTCCCATCTCTTCAGGTTTCTCATAGCGGATGCACTTTTAACAATTCATAGTTCATAAAAAAACTACTTCAATTTATTATACAACTATAACACCAGGGTCTGGGATAAACAAATTATAATAATAAATAATTTTAAAAAATTTAATTTTTAATTTTTTATAGAAATTTTGAACAAATATATGTTTTGGGTATATTTGAAAATAATTTTCAAAAGTCATGGCCAATCTGGAAATAAAAAATAACTTATTTGAAAAGAAATATGATAAACTAGAAAAAAAGTAAAAAAAAAAACATAAAAGTGGCCACGTGAACTGCCAAGTCAGCAGCGCGGTCAGTCGCTATGCGCCGCGTGGCAGACACGTGGACACGAGTCCACGCGGGAAGCCACACAGGCGATCTACATGCCAACAAATCTAATGGCCCAGATCTACTCTCGCGCACATGGGCAGTTCAGATTCGTTTCCTCTTCAGGCGCGATCGAACGATTCTAATTATATCTGATCGTTCGATCCAGATTCACTCCTTAAATAGGATTGATCAAACAAGTGGGAATGAGCCACGTCTCCTCGAACGGATGGCCCGAATTTAATGAAGATGAGTATTTAAACTCTTCTTCCACAAAAATCATAACCCTAGCCACAACCAATCCTGCTGGAGAAGAAGACGAAGGGCGGTCGGAAGAAAAGCCGACCACCATCGTCGACGTCAGAAGGTGAGTTTTGTTTTCCTCTTTTAATTTACAATTCAATTCTAAGTCTCCCTAAACTCATATCGATGCCAAAAAACCAAAAGGGCAGCTGCAAACAGAGGGCGGAGCTTGGTCGAACCGCCGTACCTGCGACCCAAAATCCCTTTGGTGAGCCCGAATCTCCTTCTTGTTTCCTTTAATTTTCCGACCATTGGATTCCTGACTCTTTTCTAGTGCAGGATGACCAAAGAGAGTCCTCGACCACAATAGAGGAACAGCGGAGCCGCTGCATCGAAAAACCACCCTACCGGTAATACTTCAGTTTTTTTTCCTTATTTCAGCCAACAGAGGTCACTTAACCTCGAATTTTGCATGTTTTTGCACAAGACTGGTCGAAAACCAGACATACTAAGAAGAAACACCATTGTGGGCGGCGAAGCCGACGCCCAAGCACGGCAACGGCGTCGTGCCGGAACCCTAAACATACCTAAAAAAATTTAAAACCTTTATTTTTTGCCTTTTTGGGTATTTTGAGATATGTGATGCATATTTTTGGTATTCGCATAAAAAAATCCAAGAAATCCAGGAACCACCGGAAAGTGCAGTGAAAAAGGTGATGTTTCGAACATTGACCTAGGGTAAGAATCCCTCATCTTTTTTTTTTCAGTACAATTGATTAAAGTTTAAATAATAATAAACGATGAAATTTGTGGATATTAAACATCTTTTATTAATTAAATACAGATCACCGATGGAGCCGGTAACTAATCAGTGTATAGTTTATCTCTGTTGCCTATTTATTTATATATTGCCTTAATTGGTTACTGTTATATCATGTGCTTTAATTTATTAATTTTAATTGTCTCCCTGTTTATTAGTTTACTTAACCGTTTTATCCCTATTGGTTGATTGGTTTAAAATAAATATCCTGACTACACTTTTCTTAGTTATTAATGTATCAAATTGTATTTCTATTTAATTGTCATTCTATTGTCCAGTAATTATAAAATGAGATTGTTGTATGTAATGGATAGCTGGTTAATGATGGGGATATGTATGTGAAAGACTTACTTAGTGTCATGAGAAATAGTGTACGGACCTGGTACATAGGACAAACCCTACTGTGGATATTATCTCAGTCGAACGAAACTAAGAAGTCTCATACCGGAAGGAGTTGGGAAGCACATATTCACCCTCATTACCAGATGGGGTATTGAAGTGGTGGTACATTTGACACTCATTACAAGACAGGATATAGAGACAGTCAGTTCATTAAGAGATTGAATATTGGGTCCATGTGTAGTGAGAACCCCTATGGACCCCAAGAGACACTGATAACTAAGTAAAAATGTAAAGTTTGATTATTGTTGTTTCTTAGAATGCCTAATGGATTGGTATTTTAATTCTTCTCTTTACAAGCCATATTTGAGAACCTAAAAGATGAGTATGAAACTAATATTTTTTTTAATTAAATGAATTTTCCTAAAAAGGATAATAGCTTCATTGGTTGTTTTGTCATTTTTACCAACCTTTGATTTTCCGTATCGGTTGTAAAGGATTAATATTGTAATGATCCCAAAAATATCTAAATGAAATAAAAGATAATTAAAGTGTGGAAGCGTAATAAATGCTCAGAGTTTACATTCCTTACACAAATAACTGAAAGTACCAAATAATGTTACGGAATTCACTATTTTGAAATAAACACAAAAAATAAAGAAATAAACATAAAATAAAGAAATCTAGCATCTACTTGCAATCTTCTTGCATATCGGGCTCTGTAACCTGGTTCTCTTGATCTGAAATAGTTAAATAAGGGATAAGCTACACTAGTCCAGTAAGGATATCACACTATATCACCGACACAGAAGTAAAGGTTGGTATAAAATTAAAAAAATACTAATGGAGCACTAAATTTAGCAAACTCATTTATTAATCATAAAAATCATTTATCGTTTACTTACTGTAGTGGGATTTATAAAAACAATCTATATAGATAATAATATGATACAGATAATGATTCCACGTATAATCAGCAATCATAGCACATATTATAAATCTATATCCATCATCAATAAATCAAACAATAATTATCACTCTTTTTACCAACCTGCTGGTATCCATGGGGATTCATAGGGATGTTCCTGCTACACGTGAACCCTTTCATTTAACATTCTCAATTACGAGCCATCCCCATACCCCGTCCGGTATGAGTGCCAATTTACCAAACCTCAATACCCCGTATGGTATGAGAGTGGAACGAGCCGTCCCCATACCCCGTCTGGTATGAGCACCAAATTATCAAATCTCTATACCCCGTCCAGTATGAGACAACGTTCACGGTAGGGTTTCCTATGTATCCAGTCCGTCTATCATCTCCTATGATATCCAGTAAGGCTGTCATTTCATCTATTCATTTCATCATACAATTTTTACCATTTAACCTTTATTTTTTTCGATTCAGCAGTAAACACATAGAATAAACCATACATGCATTCAAAGCTATAAGATCAACTAATAAGGTACTAACATGCATTTAAACTATAAAACAATCAACAAAGCAACAGTAGAGAATTTCTGGTTCTTGCTCCATTAGCAATTCGTAATTAATTATGCACATTATCTAAATTCATACAAATATCGTATTATTATTTATTTAGACTTCAATTCTATGATAGGGAATAGGGTGAAGAATCCTTACTTGATTTGATATCCAAAAAGTTAACCTGTTCGACTGCGCCTACGTGCGATTCCCAAGTTCCCTGAATTTTTCTTCAGGAATTAAAACACGCTAATAGTACCTAAAAATGCCCCAAATAAACCTAAAATCAGTCTCAGGGCCCACTTGGCCAATTTCAAAATTTCGGCACGGCGGCTCCGCCGAGCTCTGGCGATGGCGCTGCCGCCCGCGGCAATGGTCCACCTTGGGTCGACTGTTTTCTGCTATTTTCAGCTGAATTCAACCGATTCTGTATTGATCCTTATGAGAAAACTCGTTAAAGGGTCTCAGCTGGCCGAAAAAACGTAAAAAATCGAAACTCACTAGCGGCAGGGCTCTCCGATGTGGCAGCTCTTTCGGCTCATGTTGCAGTTGGGTGTTTTGCTCCAGTCAACTGATAGAGAAGGACACGTTGATCACAATGGTAAAAAAATTACACAAAATGGGAATCATAAAGGACCTCATCAAAGGCGTTTTGTGAAATTTCCCGCGACGGCACCTCCAGGCTTCACCCGCATTTTTCGGCCAATTGACCGGTTCTTTTTGTCCAATTTGGCCATGGGTGTGTTTAAAATTGAATTTTGAGAAAAAAAAAGTTTTTACCTTTTTTGGCAATCGGAAAGGGTTCCGGTGCGGCGGCGGGTGGCGACGGTCTCCTTCCCAGCAACCGAGTTTTTTTCTCTGGCGAGAGGTTCTGGCGGCTAAGATTATGGTTTGGTGCGAATAGGGGTTATTTATATCTGTCCGCTTTCGATTTGTGTCGTTCATCGCGTTTGATCTGTACCGTCCGATCATGATTAAATAGGGAGTTAATATGGACCGTTCATTGCGATCCAATTTGGACCGTCCATCACGATCTAATCTGGGCTGTCCAATCGC